GTGGTGACATTCTTTCACTCTTCACCCGTGTGCTCGTAATTTTATATCTTTATAATGGTTTGAGTGCTAATGCAGTGGAACTGTCGTGGGGTCCTAAGTGACCTCGATAATATGGAGTTTTTGCTGGAGGAACACAAGCTACGTGTGCTTCGGTTTCAGGAAACTCATTTAAACTCCAGCCATACCAACTTCCTCAGACGGTATCAGGTGTTCCGGAAGGATCGTCCGTGCTCAGTCAGTTCTTCTGGAAGGGTTCCGGTGGTTCTTCCGAGAGAAGTACCCTGTGTACAGGTTCCACTGTCTACCTCACTGGAAGCAGTGACTGTACGGTTCATGCTTCACAAAGCTCTGACAATTTGCACTTTGTACTTACCACCCTCCTTTATATTGAAATTCTCAGATTTTAATTCGTTTTTAGACCAGCTTCCTGAGCCATTCTTTTTGATGGGCGATGTTTATTGTCACTACCCTCTACGGGGGAGCACGCGTCGTTACATCCCAGGGAAAGTTATTGAGACTGTCTTATTCGGGCGAACGCTTTGTCTTTTTAATATTGGTGAACCTACCTTTTTTAGCTGTCAACAACTTTCTTCATCATGCATTCATATTTACTTTGGGACTGCCAAACTTTTCCATAAGGTTTCATAGCATATGGATCCTAACCCATATGATAGCGACCTTTTCCCCATCGAGAGCGGCAGTGACAGCGAGGGCGAGGAATTGCTTGTTGCGATTCAGAGGCACAAACTCATGCCTGCGCCTAAAATTATAGGCTATTAGTGATGTGCGCGACCAAAAGTGTCGCTGCTGACAGCTTTCCACGATTGGCCAAACCATGGGCATATGAGCATTATTATCAGGTTGTCAACTTTGACGGTGTTAGTTTCGGATTGCGATGACTCCTAGCTTTCACTGTGCTTTTTAAACACACCATCGAACTCGTCATCGCACCTGATGGTAAGTAGCAAGGATAACAACTGGTGACGTCACGGCGAGGCAAATCCCAGTCGTGACGTCACGGATGGAGACCATAAGAGGGCGCCACCGAAAGATCTTGGCGCTAATATCGGACGCGTCGTCCATTGCTCTTCGGCCTATGAAGAGCTATGTTTTGAGGCACGAAGCCTATTGGCCGGTTTCTTGACGGGTACCCACTCGCTCACCTGATTTTACCTTGTCGGCGGTGCCGTGACGGCGCGAACATGCTGCTCGCTGCCTTTACGTGAGCATTCATGAAAACGAAGCATTTCGACGAGCTACGTTGTTGCGCTGTTCATTCTGTCGTCGCACCGCTGTACAAAACTGGCATGAGGTAACAGGCGGGAACCTGTAGTCTTGAGCGATGCTTGCGTTGCCCGAACGTTAGACAGGCTCAAACCCTGAGGCTCTCTGTTGTAACTACGATGTGATGTGAACTTCCGCAGTGCATGAGTTAGTTCCACGATCAACAGCTTTCAAGAGACAGGCCTAAACACGCCTTCCTTGTTTTCTTGTTTTTTTTTTTTTTTCAAAATGACTTTAATCCTTAGAAATTATGTTTCGCTGAAGCTTTTTGTTTGAAGATGAAAAGAGGCTCGTGTGTAGCTGCAAATCTGCTCAGTCCACACTAAAGGTGCCAATAACGTTCCTTCACTTTATCAAACAACATCCATCCCGCGGCAAACCGTCGGTGATCGATGACTTTGACGAGTATGTTGGGTTAATAATACGAAGAAAGCACCACACAAACAGGGGACAAAGACAGACATGTACAAGCGCTATCCGAACGTTGAAAGGACGCAACTACACAATGACGTAAAAAGTTCAGGAGCAATGAGAGCGCATGGTTGGCAAGCTAACAAGGTTGTACTGGTTGTGCGCCGATGTTTAGATGGCCCAGCAAGCGTGGCGTCAACACGTCAACCCCAGGCAGAGTTTGCATCCTCCATTGAGAAGCGCACCGGCATCCTGGGCAGGCGAACCGTGAAGTATTTCGACTGCACTGTGAGAGACATGGCTTGGTGGCGGTGGCGGCCAAGGAAGACGCTATGCGGAGGGCAAGTTCGTCTGCTTCTTGCGCAGGGGGTAGTGGTGACTTCAGAACGCCGAGCCCTGATTGGCTGACCGCGACTCCCTATCTGAGCGTCGTCTGCTCCTTTGTAACGTCGTCTGCTCGCAACGTCGTCTGCGTCTGTCTTACCTTTCCTGAGACTTCCAGAAGTAAAGGTCTTTACAAGCAAGCTCGACTTCACCTTTCAGAGAGGGCAGACGAAATAATTCGAGCGGTACGTTGTTTTTGTCTAACAATTAGCAGACGAGCATCAAGGAGAGTAGTCGAAGGACTCACTGGCGAGCAAGCTGGCGAGGTGTTCCCGAGGCGCCGAGGTTTGTTTGCTAAGAACCGAGAGTGAGAATGGGTAGTGTCCGCAAGTTTCCTCCCAAACACGTTTTCCCTCCATTCGTGTGCGGCGAGACTCCTCACTCCTTAACGGCGTCGGCGGGTTGGCGCGGTTGGCGCAGTTAATGTCATCTACTTTAATTACGTCTGCTAGTCAAAGCGATGGCTCTTTACCTTTTCTGCGTCTGTCAGAGATTCACCGCTTTTTCACCGGCGAGAACGCGGCCTTTTAAAAAGGCGAAAGGACATACTTTGAAGGATACGACCTTTCTTTTGAGATGAAGGATTTCACTCTAGTTGCGAATGTTCAGGCGTCGTTTAAGAATTGCAGCTACGCGGTAAAGATGACGCTCTCCGATAAAGGTGACATTTTAGAGAATCACTGTGAGTGCCCTCGCGAGAAGCAGACGAACTTGCCCTCCGCATAAGTTTCGCACTGCCGCAGCTGTCGAAAGATACCGCTGCAAAAACACAAAGTAAACTTTGTTTGTCTAAAGTCAAACAACTGATTTGGCCTATATTAACGATGGGCTGCATATCTTCAATTAAAATGGGCCTGCTAAAAACAACTAAAAGGTGAATTAGAAAAATTTGGTTAAGTCACTAATTGATTGTTTATACTCGTGCCCCGACGGCCGCCGCGGTTGGTAACATTATTTTGCAGGAATATACTTTTCTACTTACAGGGCCCTTATGAAATTATTTTCGTCTTAAAGAAATCGGCCTGTATATTTTTACATATTTTATTAATCATTCTTTCACCGTGGGCTCCAAAAGAATTCCAGCAATGTTATAAGCGACTATTTTTCGTATATGACGCATAATATTTTACTTTGTAAATACTGGAAAAGGTTTAGTGAAAGATGACGCCAGTGTGCCAGTATCTTCTATCGTCTTAAGCTGTTAGAAACAAGCGCACCGCACTCGATCATGCTCAAACTCAACTTTGTGTGTCAGTCTTTAATGTTCTTCATTTTAATGCACTTTTCCGTTTCACTGTTTTTAGGTTTCATTCTGTCAGTTAAGATGAGACTACGCGCCAAAATTCGCCCCTTTTTCCTTTTTCCAACATGGCACTCTCTCCACGTATTCTGGTAAAGTCGAGACGACAATTTGAGACACGAAAGCGCTAAATTCTCATGGGCGTAATTTTGTGTAAACTTGTTGATCCAGCTTAATCGTTCCAAAAGTATTCCCTGTATAGAACACCACGTTTAAAGAAAAGCAATGATTGCCCTGGACAAAAATATACGCCAGACTTTTGTATCATTGAAAATCTAAACTTTTAAATAAATCTCTTATTGGCTACGATTATCACATCTGGTGCAAACAAGCGTCCAGTCAAGGGAATTTGAAAAGCACAGTCTCTATAATGAAACTCCTTGATTATCGTCTGTTGCTTTGCATAGAAACTTTCAACATCAATTAAACTGTCCCCGTAGAAACCGTGGAAAGCTTTAAAGCAAATAGCCACTTCAACCATCGGAGTGTTGTACGTGACCACTCACTGCCAACAAGGCGTATGCAAGGCAATCCGAAATAGCAAATTTTCAAAGAATACACGAAGGTACCTGAAATAACAGTAGGTATCATAATTCAAAGAATGCCTTAAACCTGTCATCTTTATTTGATCGTCTACATATTTTTCACCTAATGCTGCTGCCGCTTATATTCGCGCGAGGTGCCAAGCGCGCCAACGGACGACAATCTCCTACTGCAACGTTCCAGAATAGTCCCGCTGAAAACGCGCAGCATTATGAAGAGTTTGCATCTGTGCAGATCCAAGACGATGGGCAGTATATCACTAGTCTGCTCGACAAACATAGAGACTTCATAAGAAGACTTTCAGTATTCCATCAATATTCCATTCTCGTGTTACTAGTTTTAGAAGTTTTTAATGTTTTATATCCTTGATTTTTTTCCATTTTCTTTTAATTCCCCACAACCCCCTCCCAAAACAGGGTAGCCAACCAGGACTGTTAACCTTTGTTCATAACTGCAACAATACTTGAAAAAAAACAAGCTAGCTGGTGGTGACTCATGGTAATAAAACCGGAGACTCAGGCACACAGACGTTCTGTTGTGGTGTGTTGTGTTTGTCCCCTTCTATGTTCCTGAGTCTAGAGTTTCATTATCATGAGTAACCTAGGATAACCTCTCTGTTTTTTCCTTTTCTTACCCTTCCTATTTTTCTCTCTCTTTTTCTCCCTCTCATTTTTATCAGAAACTTTGCGTTAATGCTTTTGTTCTCATATTTCGGTCCCACGCATTGGCGGTCGCCTTTTTCTGGACACAAAGCGTGTGATTAGACCTGAGTCCTCGCTAAATGCTAAAGCAGCACTTTTTGTTTCTTATTAATATTTATTAGTTCCAGCAGGTGTAAGTAACAGAATACTAAAACTATATCATTTCTTCCGTTAGATAGACAGCAAGCAGGTTAAAATTAAACTTTGTCTAAACAGATGCCTTTGAGAAGAAATCCACGAAAGATTTCAAATAGACGGGCAGCTGAAAGTGTTTGGACAAAAGCTTGTTCCTAAATTTTCAAATCTCCCATTCGTGTATTTTATTTTTTGTTGTAAATAAAGGGAAACCTAATCATGTCAAAAATATGCTATTTCAGATTGTGAGCTTTTCGTGAAAACTGACCCCAAAATTAATATGCACAATACGCCATGCCACCCAATTTACCGTATCTACTGCGGGTATGGACGGCAAACTCGAGGTAAGTAAACGTCGCATTAAAATTGTAACGTTCTACAAATACAATTCGAGATAGCTTACGAAATAGTGTTTTACTCGATCCGTCATTTCTATGATTTTTCCTTTTCTTCTTTTAGCCCTGCTCTGCCTGGTTTCTTCTTCTTCTATGTCGATCATCTAGCTGTCACATTATAAAAACCTTTTTTACTCATTCCTCCTGGGATGATATGGAAACACATTTCCGATGGTGGCGCATTCAGTGACATTTGTTGAAGTGGTATACCATATGACTTTTAGGATACCTTGCATGGGAGCTGTTTCCGTCACTTGGTAGGGCCCGGAAAACTTTTTGTGTGTTCCATGGATGCCTTTCCTAACAATGACAGAATCGCCCACCTGAATGTCAGGAACTGAACGAAATCTTTTGTCAAAGTTTTTCTTCATTATTTTCCTATAGAGCTCTTGCTGTTTATAGGTCTTCTTTTCTTCTGTCAGCACTAGATCATCTTTGATGTCAAGTTGTACATCTGCCGGCAAGTAAGGTGCAAGTCCGAAGGCCGCGTAGTTGGGACTACAGCCTAGGGCTGTAGTATGTGAGCGGTTATGATAGGCCACTGCTGCCTCAAAGGCACACTTCCAACTGCCGACGAAGTTTGGGTACATAAACAAGTACTGCTTCAAGTCTCGAATCAGTCGTTCTGCTAGGCCATTCGCTTCCGGGTGATATGGGGCAGCAAAGCGCAGTTCGATTCTCCTGGATCTTGACCATTGCTCCAGTTTTTTTTACTCCGGAACGTAGGACCATTGTCCGAAACAATCACCATAATGTTCTTAAACATGTCCCTTTCTAGCATTGAAATGACGCTGTTTGAGTCTTCTTTTCCTGCTCTTGAGGCTGCGATGCGCGTACACTTGTCTATGGCTATAACAAAAACTTGGGTTCTAGCCACTCCATCACCCTTCTTTCTTAATTCGGCAAAATCCAGATCAACTACTTCGAACGGGACATCCGAGTGAATTGGCAAAGTCATCTCATTGAATCGTTGCTTCTGCTTGGCTTTGTTCATCTGGCATTCGTGACACGAACGCAGATACTAGTACATGTCCTGCTTCATCCCCGGCCAGCAGAATCGGTAAGCCAGTTTACTATACGTCTTCCAAAATCCATCATGGCCGCCTGATTCTGGACTATCATGGTACAGCCTGAGAGTGGAACTTACAGCCGTGAATGGAACTTGAAACTTGCCATCGCTGAAAGTTAGATCTTCGGTTCCCTCCCACAGTCGAATGTAGAAGACCTCCTCCGTATCATGCCTCATCTCGGAAATTGACAGACGAGACAATGCATTTGCATCTTTAAGGTGAACTCCTGGCCGATAAAATTCTTCAAACTCGAATTGTTGGAGTTCGTTTATCCATCTAGCTGTTTTTCCTTTCGGTTCAGTCATGCATAGGAGGAACGTTAAGGCTTGGTGATCCGTGGAGTTTGAACTTGTGGCCCTCGAGGTACGAACGAAAGTATCGCACGGCCTTAAGAACAGCTAGGGCTTCTTTTTCTGTTGTTCTGTAATTCACTTCAGGCTTAGAAAAAGTATAAGAGTGATACCCCATGACAAAAAGCTGTTGAGATGTTGGCTTTGTCGGATTATGCTGATAAAGAACAGCACCTGTACCATAGTGGGATGCATGCGTGTTCAGTTCAAAAGGCAGGTCAAAATCGGGTAAAATCAATACCGGATCAGAAGAAATCGCTTGCACTAGATTCTGGTAGGATTCTTCACACTCGTTGGACCATTCGAACGGTACATCATGCTGCGTTGGTCGCGTAAGGCACCTTGTCTTCTTTGCGAAATCCTGGATGAAAGGCCTGAAATGTCCGGCAAGACCAAGAAACACTCTAAGCGAATGGACGTCAAAGGGCTTTCGTAGGCTGGAGATCCTAGCAGCGTATTCTTGCTTGGTATTTTTAGACCTTCCGTCGAAGTTCCGCCCAAGAAATACAACCTTTCTTTGGAAGAATTCACTCTTTTTTACATTGACCTTAAGATGTGCCCCTTTTAAAGCTTCCAGCACGGATGCCAGATGTCGACGGTGATCTTCTTGACTCTTTGAATATACAATTATGTCGTCGATATAGACGCTACATAACTGTCCTAGAAATGGGCTTAGTAGTTCGTTTCATCATCTTTTGAAACCAGGCTGGTGAATTCTTCCAGCCAAAGGAAGTATGTTGTACTCGTAAACAGCAAATGGTGTTACGAATGCAGTATATTTCTTGTACTCTTCCCTTAAAGGAACTTGTAAAAATCCTTTACACAGGTCAATCCTAGAAAATACTGTGCATCCTCCTGTCTCATCGATGATGTTTTCAATTCTGGGCATCGGAAAAGGAAAAAGCTCGGTTTGACGGTTAATCATGCGATAATCGGTACATAGCCGTAGTGATCCATCTTCCTTCGGCACGATGGTTATTGGCGATGCAAAAGAAGAGACAGATGGTCGAATGATTTCGGCATCCAGCATGTCTTCCAGTTCCCTCTTTAGCCAACGTTTCTTTTCTACAAACATGTTGTATGGCTTCCGTCTGACAATGGTGGTATCCGCCAACTCGAATCGTACATCGAAACAAGTGGTGGCGGGTGGGTATTTGCCCACAGGTATTATTTCTGGGTAGTTAATGAGTATAACATCAACTGATTCCACATATTCTACCTTTTTCTTTGCACTGGCCAGGTTTGTGTCAGATACTTGGACCGTATCATCCCAGTATATGTTGATGTGCGTTCTCTTCATATCCGGCCAAGACAGTAGCAAGTCATAATTTAGTCCATTAATTACTAGAGCTTCGGTCTGGACTTGTTGGGATTCATATTGAATGGTCAGGTGAATCCATTTGGTGTGTATTTTCTTTCTTCCGTCGTAGCCTTGAATTTCAACTGTACGACCCTCAAAAGTTCTTTCACGATCGACAACCTCTTGGTTAACTATAGTCACAGACGCTCCGCTGTCGACGAGAGCTTTTAAAGTTCTTCCATTCACATTTACATTTATATACAAGAGTGTTGATTGGGACAAAAAGACAGTCTCAATTGTTGTCGAAGGGTGGGACTGTACACCCTCCTTTATCACTTTTTTTTGTGGTTGTCTGGACTTCAGCCGTTTCACGGTCTTCAAATGTTGCTAGGTGAGTCGCTGACTGCTTCTGTGGCACAGCTTGTGGATTCCAATGCGAAGGCTTTTGTCCAAGACCTCCATATATGTGCGACCGCAGGGTTGCTTCAGTAGGCTTCTGCGCTGCTCGGGGCCAGGCATCTAAGCAGAGATGTTGAAAACAGTCCAGAAGGCACTCCACAGTTTTGGGCGCTTTCACTTGGACCTGTGTTTGCAGCTCTTTCGGAAGTCCGTGAATAACCAGCGGGACTACGGATGAGTCTGGTAGGGAGTAGTCTGCCATCTGGAGCAATCGTCGTTTTTCATAGAAATATTCCATGAAACTTCCTGCTTCGTACTTGTAGAATATAGCTTTATCCCACTTCTCCACGGGATTCTCTTAAAATGCCGAATGAAAACTTTTTTTCCACTGTTCCCAGGGGTCGTTGAGATGGTCCGTTAAGTAAAGCTCATACCACGTTTTCGCCATTCCGGTGAAAAAAAGTCGCAGATTTTTTATTTTGTCATCGTAGGAACGAAAGCCATTGTTCTCACTAGCGTATTCATAAAATGACAACCAAGCTTCCGAGTTTGTTGCGTGACCATCAAACGGGTCCGGCTTTGCCATTCGAAAGCGTGGAGCTTCCTGGTTTCGTGAAAGTCCGACGATGGCTTGAAGCAGTTGTTGGTTTTGCACTATTTGTTGTTGTTGTGCAAGTAGGATCTGGTGGACAAGGTAAGTTGGGTCCTCGGGATTAGTAACAACAACACGCTGAAGGCTTTCGAGACCCGCAAAGTTGTTTTGGGGATAGACCTGGTTATTGTCTTGGGGACAGGCCTGTAAGTCACCTTGAGTTCCCAATTGGAAATCGCTTTGGGAGTTGGATTGGAGCTCGCCTTGGGTTCCGTTTTGAGAGCCGCCTTGAGGACCGTAATGGAATTGGAAGCCGTCTTGAGGCTTCAACGGGCCCTCCTCCATGGGCTCTATGATAAAGGTCTGAAAATCGGCTACCCTTAGGTTGACCTTGACAGTCCTTTTCTGTAGGACGGCACTGACGTCCAGTCCTGTCTTGTCAGAAACGAGTTGAATCAACTCCCGAGTAGTGATACGAGGTCGTAGTGGAAATGCCTCCTCGTCTTGAGGCTGGCAAGATGAGCAGACGAGGTCTTCTCCGGCGTCATCTTTTATAGTGAGGGTGATCCACATGATGGGATCCTGTCGACTGCGCCAAAATGTAACGTTCTACAAATACAATCCGAGATAGCTTACGAAATAGTGCTTTACCCGATCCGTAATCTATATAATTTTTCCTTTTCTTCTTCTATCCCTGCTCTGCCTGGTTTCTTCTTCTATGTCGATCATCTAGCTGTCACAAAAATATTACCGAATCAAATTTCAGACGTGTCGATCTCTCGTAATATTTCAGTTTTCTGACAGACAGACTTAAATATATACGCCCAAATGTAACATAAAATACCCACTTTTTCTAATAGTAGAGTTCAGTAAAATCGAAATAAATTTTACTGAAAAACAAAATTTCTTGTTCAAGGCGTGCTAAGGCATTTTCTAGCGACCGTTTGAGATTGGTATGCAGTGTAAACATTTTTTTTTATCTCAAAGTGATTGCAGCGTTTTGTCGATATTAATATTAAGACAAAAAGTGCTGCGTCACGTTCATCATTCTAGAGCGAGAGCTATTGTGCATGCGAGCTGGATCACAGTCGTACTAGAACGATTTCCTGAAGGGATAAACCTGAAGTGCACGAACACAATATCTCAAAACACAGATGGAATTTTAGTACTGCCACAGCATCTCTTATGTGGGACAGAACACCGCACATTGTCAGGAACCTGATTCGTTAACCGAGAAC